TTATTATATTTACTAAGATCCCCCCAAAACCCCAAAACCCCACAAACATCAATTTCAAAGTATCAGATTGAGATTAATTGTTAGTTAAAAGTTAAATTTTAAAAAGCGGGAGATAAAGAATGGAGGTAGATCGCATGTCAAAGTACAAAAGATAAGACGTTGATATGGATGAGTCTGATCCCTAGACTCAAGTTAGATCATCTGAAATGATCTAGGATTTGGAATTCACTGTGGAATTACTTAAGATTTACTACGATAAAGCTTTCCCATACGACAAGATGTTCGATTGGCTTTCATATTTCAAGGTTAGCAAGAAGCAGAATAGGTTACAGTCATTGGAAGATGGAGTAGACTCAGAGTATTTCTACAACAGAGAGTTTTCCTTCACTCTTGAGAATGATGTTTACTGTAGGTACCTTTGCTTTAAGAACCCTACTGACCTAAAGGATGCTCTTGTCTCTAGAACTCCACATAAAATCGATATTGGGGCAATTTTCAACATTCCGCCAAAAAATCATTTGATTACAGAAAAGAAGGTGTTCATTCCTCTAGAGAAGGAAATGGTGTTTGATATCGATATGACTGACTATGATAATGTTAGAACATGCTGCACTGGAGCTAAAGTTTGCAAAAAATGCTGGGCTTACATGGCTTGTGCCACTTAAGTTATCAATAATGTCCTCACTCAAGATTTTGGATTTTCATCTTTACTCTGGGTTTTCTCTGGTCGTAGAGGTATCCATTGCTGGATAGGTGATGAAAGTGCAAGATAGATGACAAATGAGATGAGATCTGCAGTCACAGAGTATCTCTTCCTTGCAACTGGCAATGAGATGGGTGGTGGCTTTGATTTGGGATACCCTCTTCACCCAATGCATCAGAGAGCTTACAAGTTTTTAAGCAAGAGATTTGAATAGATCGTTATCATTGACCAGGATTTGCTAGCTCACGAAGCTCATCAGAAGAAATTCCTTAAGCTATTGCCTTAGAATGTGGCTAATGAACTTCAATCTAGAATGAACAGAGCTTAAACAAGTTAGGAAAAATGGAAGTTATACAAGGACACCCTAGATAAATTACATGCTTCAGGAAAGGTATATTAATATAAATTAGTTAATGATTGATTTGTAGACTGCAAGTTAAAAGCATGATCCAATTATGATCAAGTTGGTGTTCACCTATCTGTATCCAAGAATCGATGCTAATGTCAGTAAGGGCATAAACCATTTGCTCAAGTCGCCTTTCTGTATCCATCCTAAAACAGGTAATTTTGAATGAAAAAACAAGGTTTAAATAGGCAAGGTCTGTGTTCCATTTGACCCCATGACAGTCGACAATTTCGATATTCAAAATGTCACAACTCTTTCCAAAGTAATAAATGATATCGGGAATAGCAAGGATGGAAGTATCCCTTGTCTCAAGGAATCTTTAGCCGTGTTCCAAACATTCCTTAATAAACTCAAAGCAGACTCATAGAATGAACTCAAAAAATATAAAGGTTAGTCATAAATGCCATAAATACGATTAATATAGAAAAAGAGCAAAGTACAGATTTCTGAGGTATCTAGAGTAATATAGTAATTCAAATTTGGTTGTCTGTGTTATATAGCAGCGATATTATATTTTGATAGCAATTTTATCAATCACATAATTCAATTTGGTTATGGTTTATTGGGGTTTTGGGGTTTTGGGGTTTTGGGGTTTTGGGGTTTTGGGG